ATCAAAGTTTCCTTTCTTGCTTAAATGTGAAAACATTTTACTTTGTGGGAATACATAGTCCACATATACTCTTTTGAAGAAATGAACTTCAATCTTTACTCTTTACTCAACTCAAAACTCAAGTCTTAAAATAAAGTTAAAACATTTGTAAAAGACTTTTGGAAAACTCAAGTCTTAACTTTCCTTGAATTGAATTATGGATTCAAGGCTCATGATCTCATGTTATGGATGATTTCATGTTGCTTAGACGTACCTTAGAGTGTAGAAATCAACTAGAAAACATAGGTACGTTTCAAGGGAACTCGTACGGAAAGAAGTGGAAAAGGGTAGAAGACCCGGCGTCCCTGGCGCTTTGAGTGGCGCGGGGCGCTAGACCCAAAACTACAAAACTGAGGATGGGGCGCACTGGCTGGCGCGGCGCCCCAGATCCCAAACATCAGAACCCCAAGTTGGGCGTTGTGGCTGGCGCGACACCCTAGACCCTTGCCCAGAAAATCCCCAATTTTTCTTGCTCGTTTTTCAACTCTAAACCCTCTAGATTCAATTGGTTTTCTCCCCAAACACTTAGATTCAACTACATAACCAAAATCTGCAAGAATATACTCAAAACGACATCTAATTTCATGAATTTATATCAAGAACTTCTCAACGACTTCAACAATCAAGAACCCAATAAAAACTTCCAACAAATCCATCAAGAACTCAATTTCTATACTTTCAAGAACATTATTTCGCCGAATAAAATCATGATTGTCGCACGGGTGAACTAACCCAACGCTATGAGATCTCACATACCTCGTAGGGATCAAACCTTGGTGAAATCCACAAGCAAATCTTCAAGAACACGACGATTCTAAACTTCTTCTCCTCTTTTCTCATCTTCTCTCAAAACCCTAACTTATTTTTTTATGAAGCGTAAACTGAATCCAATCAGTTTAGACCCCAACTTAATTACCAAAAATGAATTTAATTAATTGGATAATGAAAAGACCAAAATACCTTTCTAAAATCCGGTTTTGACTTTCCTTATCTAGACAACCCAACTTCAAATGGACATATCTCCGTCATATGAACTCGAAACTGAGCAAACTCAACAACGTTGAAAAGATAATTCAAAGATATTTCCTACGGTATCTTGTAGCATGCCTAACTCATCATGAGATAGGAGTTATGGTCGTTTGAATATGACCCAAAACTCATACTTAGCTTAACTTTGTCAAACTTTCCAAATTTGATTATTTCCAAAAACGGTTTCCTTCTAATTCTAGTTCTTTCGAATATCGGGGTGTTGCACAACTCAACTCAATTTCAACTCATTTCAATATAAAAGCAATAATAGTAATGCAAGTATAAGAAAATGTTTTAAAACAGTAGATAACAACTCAATGTATTGAAAAATACAATGTAACTTAGTTTGTATATAAAAATACAAAATAACTCTGTGGGAGATTCTCTAACCGACAACCATCACTATGAGCTATGTGATGATACAACGTCTAGCCCACGTTGCCAGAATTGTCCTATACTTTGTCGGGGTATAGGACCTACTAACTAAGTGGATCCACTAGTCTATGCTAAAAAGCAATAAGGAATCATCTAAAAAGTATGACCCTTTCTACCCACGTTGGCTACATTGTTTATGAAGACTTTGAGTTATCTGAACTCGTCCCCATATTGGTGCTCAATACTACTCCAAAAATGTAACTAGCTCATATGTTTAAAACATAACTTTTTCTGTGGTTTGAGATTATTACTCAAAAATCTTTCTCTTAATTGAGATGGTACTCAAAACTGCTCAAAAACTCTTTTGGAAATCGGTGTTTCCTCTTTGCTTAAATGTAAAAACATGTTGTATTGGGAATACTTAGTTCTCATATATCAGCTCAAGTCTTAAAATAAGTTTTAAAAGATTTGCGAAAGACTTCTTAAAAGACTCGAAAGAACTCTCAAGACTTGACTCTTAGCTCTTTCCTTGAATTTGAATTATGGATTCAAGGTTATGATTCATGTTATGCGTGATTTCTAATTGTTTAGAAATAATTTAGAATAGTTAGAATCAAAGGGGAGTAAAGGTACATTTTGAAAGAACTCGGACGAACTAAATGAGGGAGAAAGGGTGGGGGCAGACGACCTTGGCGCACTGAGTGGCGTAGGGGGCCAACCCTTGAGCTACAAAGTAGTAGTTGGGACGCACTGGCTGGTGCAAGGCGCCATGCCCCAACCTACAGACACACTTCTCTGACGCAATGGTGGGGTGGCGCGCCACACTCTGTCCAGATCTCTCGACGAATTTTCTTACTCGTTTTCTAACCCTAATTCACCTAGAATCGAATGGTTTCTTCCTCAATCGCTTAAATTCGAATACCCATCAAAAGTACACAAGAATCTACTTAAAAACAACTCTTAAACTCCAACAATTATCTCATGAAATCATCAAATCCATCATAATTGAAGAATGGAAACAATACTTCAAGAAACTAATCAAGAACTGAAACTCTTCAACTTCAAGAACGAAATTTCGCTGAAAATAACATGATTGGCGTGTGGGTAAACGAACCCAAAACTATGAGAACTCACATACCTCTTAGGGATTAAACCCGTGGCAAAACAACATTCGATTCACAAGAAAACTTGATGAACGCCTTGACTTTTCGCCTTTTCTCCTCTTCTTGAACTCTTCTCAAAACCCTAAGCGTATATGGGATTTGTAAAACCGATCCAAATCAGATTTGACCCCAAAATAATACCAAAAATCATTTTAAGTTGATAGGTTAAGGAAAAAACCAAAATACCTCTCTTAAATCCGGGTAACTTTCCTTAACTAAACAGCCAGATTTTCAAATGGTCATATCTCCCACATCCGAACTCGAAAATTAGCAAACTCGGTGGCGTTGGAAAGAGGATTTCAAGTCCTTTCATTTGATATCTTATGGGTCACCTAAATCATCAAGTTATGGTCGTTTGAAGTTGACCCAAAACTCATAACTTAGCAAAATTCTCAAATTGGCTCTTTCCAAATTGATTCTTTCTATTTCTAGCTCTTTCTAAGGCGGGATGTTACATATGTAACATCACCCACACCCTCATTCCCTCATAATGAAAACTCCATATCCCTACTAATTGTAATTATGACCAAAACTTAGATTACAAGTTCATGAAAATCCTTTATCTTTACCCACATTTACATATTCATTGGTAATTCATCAAGTAAGTCATATCAACCTAAAACACTTATCAAAGAAGTCATACAATAACATATTAATACATAATCCAATCTCTTTTACCTAAATTTCATATTTTATTCATCCAAACGTCGTATCTGCATGCTTAATCATGATTCTTCCGTCAAATTTATATTATGTATATGTTTTTCTAACCATAGTCCACTACTCATAAACAATTGCCTACCTGGACACCAAGTTGCACTCAAAAAGATAAATATGTTTTTTTAAATCAATTATTTGGAGTAAGGATGAAATGGATTGTTACAATACGTATATACATATAACAATAATTCTGTTAGTCTATTTTAGGCTCCAATCTTTTCTACTCAAATTAATACCCCCTTGCCCACTCTCTCTTTCACACCAAACACAACTCTATTAAAAAATTGGCCAAACATATACACAGTTCCTCAAACTTGCCCTCATTTTTAGTTTTGACATTTTATAGTTTATCTTAGCCTTGTTCCATGTAACCCTTAGACCATCTCTAATCTATCTCTATTTTACTCTCCATTCTCTATATTTGGAGAGTAAAATAGAGAATGGGCACTCCAACCCCCCTCTATATCACTCTCTATTCTTCATATTTAGAGAGTTGAATAGTAGTTCTCCAAATTTGGAGAACTACTATATATTTACACTCTCTATTTCACTTTTTCAATATTTTATTATTAACATATATTATTTTACATATAATGTCATTATTTAAATATCTAATATTCATAATTCCTTTTAAATGTAAAATAATATTTAAAAAATATATTATTTCACATATACTACTTTCATCCCTAATTAATAGTATTTTAATTTTTTTTCTAATTTTTGTCAACAATACAATTTGATTTTATTATTAATTTTCACTATAAAAATACACAAAATTAAAATGATAAGATGAAAAATTTAATTTAAAACTACAATACATGAGATGATAATTTAAATACAAGATAACAATACAATAATAATTTAAATATAAGATAAAATACAATACAATACATAACATAATAATTAATTTATCAAAACAATAATTTAGTAATCCGGTAGGCCGTTTCCAAATTTAGCACTATTCGAAAAAAAATTAGGGTATGATCCAGAGAATTGCTGCGATTGTAGTTGTGATTGCAGTTTTGATTGTCGATTCTTTTTTCAATTATTCGTTGTTCTTGTTGCATGTAATCACATGCAACTGAAATAAGAATGGAATTAGGGTATGATCCAGATAATTGTTGTCGATTGTGGTTATGTTATTTAGGAATTTAGAATAAAACTAATATTTTATATTAAATAAAAAATTTTGCAAAAATAAAATTTATATCACATAAAAATTATATAAAGTAATTATTTGGGAAAAAGAAAGAAAAGATTTATATTATGAAATAAGAAAATAAGAATGAAATAGAAATAATAATAATATAATATTGAGGAGGAATTTTTTTTTTTTTAATAGAAAATAAAATAGAGAATTGAATTGAAGTTGATTGTCTTAAAAAAATAGAGAACTCTATATTTAGAGAATAAAATAAATTTTTAAGGTTGGAGATGCGACTGGCTGCAAATTTCTATAAAACCCACAACCAGCCCAAATATCTATGCACTCAGCCAAATTTTTTTTTTTTTTTTTTTAAATGACTTCTCTCTGCGCAAATTCTACAATATATTCCTTTAACAGTAACATTTCATTACATTCTAAAAACATTAGTGTCTTCAATTTTATGCCTCCAATCAAAAGGAATAATGTTTATTCCCCATATACTATCCGTTGCTCAAATATTCAATTATCTGACCCTAACTATGTTACGATTTTCGATACGACGCTTCGTGACGGAGAGCAGGCCCCTGGTGCATCCATGACTGCCAAACAAAAGATGGACATTGCATGTCAGCTAGCTAAGCTTGGTGTTGATGTTATTGAGGTTGGTTTTCCAGCTGCCTCTCAGGCTGAGTTTGACCTTGTAAAGTTGGTAGCACAAAAAATTGGTAATCTTGAATTATGTCTCCATCTTATTTAAAATTTAATAGTACTATTATATTGTATCTAAGTGGATTCGCATGTATTTGGGATACATAACAAATTTCGCTCGCCTCTGTCCCATGTCCCTCGCCACTCTCTCATGTATTTGGTATCCCAGATACATGCAAATCACTCTAGATACATGTATCTAGTGTGATTCAGATGTATCTAGAATACATATATGAATCTCACTCACCTCCCTCCCCAATCTAGCTCGCCTCTCTCCCTATTTTAGTGTATCTGGTAGCAAAAGTACATGTATCTAAGTGTAAGACACGTTAGTAACTCTTATTTAGTGATAAAATATGTAATACTTTGAAAGTCTAGGTAATAATAGTATATATCTATGATAGTGAATTATGTCTAATTATTGAATTATACTATGTCTAAAAAGGTAATAACATGGATGAAGAGGGCTATGTACCGATGATTTGTGGTTTGGCGAGATCTACTAAGGAAGATATCGATAGAGCTTGGGAGAGTTTGAAGTATGCAAAGACACCGATGATTCATATGTTTATCGCGACAAGCGATATACATATGAAGTATAAATTGAATATGAGTAGAGAACAAGTTGTGAAGAGAGCTAGGAGCATGGTGGCTTATGCCAGAAGTCTCGGGTTCGAGCATGTTAGGTTTAGCTTGGAAGATGCTACAAGGTTTGTAATATTTGTCATATTTATATTTTTACCATATGGTGTGTATATAATTGAATATGTATTATTTTTGTCAGATCTGATAAGGAGTTTGTTTATCATATTATTGGAGAAGTTATTAAAGCTGGTGCAACATGCATTTGTGTTGCTGATACTGTTGGATGCAATTTACCAAATGAATTTGCACAACTAATTGTTGACATAAAAGCCAATACATTAGGTATCCAAAATGTGATCCTTGCAGTACATTGTCACAATGATATTGGACTTGCTACTGCCAACACATTAGTTGTATGTATTTGTTAGCTTTTAACTACTCCCTCCGTCCACTTTTAATTGTCACAGTTTCCTCTTTTAGAGTCAAACGATAAGAATTGACTAAAATTCTACGATGTATTTTGAAAATTAGTCAATTTGACATTCGAAAAGCGCAACATGACAATTAAAAGTGGATGGAGGGAGTACTTCATTTATAAGAATATAATATATAGTTAGTTTGACTCTCATACCTCGATGGAATTTAGGGAATTTGTGCAGGGGTAAGACAAGTAGATGTAACCATCAATGGTATTGGTGAAAGAGCTGTAAATGCTTCTCTAGAAGAGGTGGGAGAGAATAAACTTTAATTATAAGGACAAATTATATTAATATCTATACTTATAAATTCGTACTTTTTCTATATAGATAGTAATGGCCATAAAATGTCGTGGAAAGGAAGTACTAAGTGGTCTCTATACTGGGATTAATACAAAACATATATTCACCACAAGCAACATGGTATGTATATATAAAGTGGCGTACGCAAAATTTATCTTAAGCGGTGTCACCTATTTAATATATATATATTACTTGTTAAAATTAATCATGCATATAATAATAATATTGTTATATGCAGGTAGAGGAGTATAATGGGCTTAAGCTACAACCACATAAGGTCATTGTTGGAGTTAATGCTTTTACTCATGAAAGTGGAATTCATCAGGTCAATTTTATTTAGTTAATACTATATATATTTATCAACTCAATATTTCAAAACTCTTTTTTTTTTTAACCCATCATCCTAGTGTGACATATTTATTTAACAAAACGAGGAAACAAAGTCTAAAAAGTGTGAGTCCGAACAGATAGACTAAGAAATAAATATGAATCTACGACATCCATATTTCAAGGTTCGTAAGACATTTTAAAAAGGTATCAAATGTCAATTTTTGATCTAGTTAAGAGCCATCTTCTTCCCCATTTTTGAACTACGCTAGCTACAAACAAAAGCGGTCCTTCAAATTTCATTGAATTTTTTTATTTTAGACTTGTTCCTATTCAAGAAATTTACTTATTTTAGATTTGTTTTAACAATCGGCTGCCAAAATTTTAAAATGTATGTAATAAAATTATGGATGACACTACAAAAATGACGAATTAAATAAGAACACATGGTATTTGCGCCAAATTTAATTGTAAAAATAAAAAGCAAAGAAAACTATGTAAAACCTATTTAACTAATTAAAAAGGTATTTGAATTTATTCTACGTACTTAATTTAGGATGGAATATTAAAGAACAGAGGCACATATGAATTTATACCTGCTGAAGATGTTGGATTTATTCGTGCTACTGAACACGGTATTAAATTGGGAAAACTCAGGTACACACTGTTTTATCATGATGATGTTGTGATTCAGTTCGGTCAATTATTTTATAAAATTTATGTCATATTATTTTTTTTGTTATCCAATTTTATATAATCAAAATTACATTTTCTGAAACCGTCTCAATAGTTTTGATTTTTTATTGATATCGGTACGATGCATTATTGTTATTACTATTCTTTTCGCTTTATTTCATTGTTGTTATTGTCAAATTGCTTTGAAATGCTTTACTTAAATCAATAGTCTATCGAAATCAACCTCTCTAACTCTACTAGGTAGGGGTAAGGTCTGTGTACACTCTACCTTCTACAAACTCCACTTGAGGAATTACACTGAATTTGTTGTTATTGATATGATTCAATAGATATTTGTTTGTTTTTTCTAAAATAAATATCATGCATTCTTATATTTTGTGCAGTGGACGTCATGCATTGAAAATTAAAATGCTTGAGGTATGATACATATACTAAGATTTCAATAAATTAAATTATGATAGTATTATTATATATGAATGTGCATCAACAACACTCATTTTATTTTGTCATAGCTTGGATATAATTTTGAGGAAAAACAACTTGGGGACCTCTTTTGGCGATTCAAGTCATTGGCTGAGAGGAAAAAGGTGAATTAAATTATTGATGTTTTTATAGTGCAACACTCAATTTTGTTTTATTGATGAGACTTAGGGTGTGTTTGGTGCGAAGGAAAACATTTTTCAATGTTTTCATGTTTGGTTGGTTTAAATGTTTTCAATTTTATGCCACCCTTACCCCCTACCCCTACCCTAGCCATCCCCCAAACCGCCACCCCCCACCTCCCTCCTAAAGAGTATTTTCTAGTCTCAAGTCAAAAATGAAAGATATGTTATGGAAAATATTTTTCATTCACCAACCAAACATTAAGAAGTATTTTCTACTCACCAACAAAACATGAGAAAATACGTTAGAAATTCACTTATTTTCTAAGAAATTTTTTTCTAGTAGAAAATATTTTCCATCATACATACACACTTACTTAAAAAAATAAAATTACGAGTGTTGCCGTATTATGTGTATCGGAGAGGTAGGGAGATGGCCTCCACTACGCTTCTCCTTATTAATAGTATTATTTAGGTATCACATTGTTTTTTTTATATGTATTATTATCTGTTGCTCACATTTGCTTTGTTTCTTCCTATATTGTTGTCATATTTTCTTTTTTTCATACTTTGAATTATTTTCTTTTTTGATGAGCTAAGTATGTGTCAAAAATAACTTTTCTACTCCATAAAAGTAGGAACAAGGTCTACTTATATCCTACCCTCCAATCTCCATAGATTTCATTATGAAATTACACTCGGTATATATTGTTACATGTTTGTTTTTTTACCTATTTATCTTCTCTACATCTATCTTTTCAGAATATAACAAATGATGATTTAAGAGCGCTCATATTAGACGAAACTATCCAGCCTCAAATTGGCTTGACAACTTGGAGATATGCATGTAAATACTACTACTTTCTTTCTTTTTTGTTGGTTTTCTTTTATTAATTAGCTCAGATTGAAAAACGATAGTTCTATAATTTCTGTTTATGCAAAGGATTTACTGTTAAATGAACGTATTATATGATACAGGAACTTTTCACCTATTGATGGAAGAGCTTATCTAATGTTGCAGTAGCTAGCCCAGGGTTTTGTGCTACATTAATTAATTGATGTATTAAATTTTCTTGAACACTCTTTTAAGTTCTTAGTATTGAACCCCTTGTACTTTCTAAACCCTGAGTTTAAACTTATGTTTGTTGTATATTTTAATAACTATATGCTCTTAAAGAAAAATATGTTGCTTCCACCACTGCAGTTAGGGTACGAACCTATATAAAAGCCTAAAGAAAAATATGTTACAAATGAAACGCCTAAGAAGAGCGAACGTAACACCTCGCTAAGTGAAAGAGCTGGAATTAGAAAGAGTCATTTTTGGAAAGAATGAAAAATCTGGAAAATTGTTTAAGTTAGGAAAAGAGTTTTTGGTTAACTTCAAATGGCCATAACTCCTAGATCAGGATGAGTGTGTATTTCTTGGAATGATCTTTCCAACGCCTCCAAGTTTGTGCGATTCCGAGTTTGTATGAGTAAGCTATGCCCATTGGAAGTTGGGCTGTTGGATTAAGGAAAGTCCAAATCCGGATTTTTGAAGGGTAGTTTGGTATTTTCCTTACCCTTTTATTTTAATTCATTTTTGGTAATTACTTAGGGTCTAAACTGAACTTAGTCAGTTTACGCTTTTGGAAAAAGAGTTAGGGTTTTGAGAGAAGAGAAAAGAAAACGAGAAAAGAGGAGAAAGGAGAAGAACGTTCAAGATTCGTCAAGATCGTCGAGTTTGGCTTGTGGATTTTGTTGGGGTGATCCCTACAAGGTATGTGAAATCACATAGCGTTGGGTTAATTCGCCCACGCGCCAATCATGATTATTTCAGCGAATTTAAGTTCTTGAAAGCTTAGAAATTGAGTTCTTGATGGATTTGTTGAAGTTCCATTAAATTCTTGTTTCGTTGAATTTGTTGAGGAGTTGATTGATCCGAATCTGTAGTTTTAGGTTCGATTTTGAGTAAAATCTGATGTACTTTGAACATTTAATCGACTCTATGTAATGGGTGAAAGAACCCATGGGGTTTAGAGCTGGAAAATGAAGAAGAAATTTCGTCGGTCAAAATTTGGCACTGCCTCCGCATCGCGGAGCCATTCCCCAGATCTGAGAATTTTCATTTCGCGTTGCGGAACTGTCACGGAGCGTTCTGCCTCAAAAGTCGTTTTCAAAACTAAATTTTAAAAGCTTCTCCGCATAGCGGACCCACCCTCAGATATCGATTTTTGGTCTTTTCTCATGTTTAGCTGTCTAAAATCATTCCTAAACATCATGGGATCTTTCCAATCACAAATCACAATCCTTGAATCCATAATTCAATTCAAGGACCAGTTAAGAGTCAAGTCAAGAGCAGTTAAGATCAAAGTCAAGAGAAGATCTTAGAGTTTTCCAAAAGTTTTTCCAAATGTTTTAACTTTGTTTTAAGACTCAAAGTTCAAGTTGAGTAACGAGTAAAGAGTAAAGTTTGAAGTCCATTTCTTCAAAAGTATATGGGGACTATGTATTCCCAAATAGTTTAAAATATTTTTCACATTTAAACAAGAAAGGAAACCTCGATTTCCCAAGGGCCTTCGAGATAGTTTTTCAGAAAAAAGTAATCGCTTTCTAAATGAAGTAAGAGGGGAAACTTTGATTTCCAAGATAGCCTTTGAGCTAAGGTTTTGAGCACTAATCTCAAATCACAGAAGAAGTATGTTTTTAAACATAAGAGCTAATATTATTATATTTTTGGGAGTAGTATTGAGCACCGATATGGGGGAGAGTCAGACAACTCACAACCCCATAAACCATGTAGCCATCATAAGTAGAAAAGGGTCATACTTTTTAGATAAATCCTTTTCGCATAGACTAGTGGATCCACTTAGTAGTTCAGGTCCTATACCTGTTGCAAGGTATAGGATGCGCTGGCAGCTTGAGGGAGATCGTTGTATCATCACAATAGCTCTTATGT